CTCAAGAAAAAAAATCACAAGAGAGAAAAAAGTAAAGGGGGAAAAAAAAACTAAAAAAAACTGTTTAAGGCATGGAATAGAAAAAAATACATAATACAAAAAAAAAATATATAATATTACATGTTACGATTCTTTTCAACTTTGGGAACAATAATAATTGAATAGAAAAAAATATTTTAAAAAACTTCAAATAAGAAATAAAAAGTGAATGTAAAAAAAATTTATGTTTCCTGCCAGAAAAAAAAAATTGGTTAATTTTCGCTGATGAATCCGAGTTTATCAAAGAACTGTATACAGTACTTTTTTTTTAACTTATAGAGTATATTTGCTTTTAATGTATTTTATGTCATACGAGTATTATATGTTTCCTTTTTTCAATTCTCTCTCTCTCTCTGTTTCTTTTTTTTTTATCGAATATATAATACAGATATTTTGAATAAAAATGATTTTTTTTTTTGTTCATTTCAATAGAGTTTTGTATTTCGAAAACGTTATTTGATATAAGATGTTGTGAAAGTGCAATCAGAAAATATAAAGACCATGGTACACAGTGCGGTGGGCCCTCGAGGGATATAACTAACTGTGAATACTGATGATATTGGACGGATCTCGTGTCCGTGTATCATCAGATATTAAGCGAGGAATGACTCTCAAGCCCCAGAGAAATCGCACTCTCTACCCTCAAGATCTTAATCACGACGGATGTGATATAAAGTTTCAACCTGTGGGGAAAGTGATAACACTTTCTGCAAAATATAATTTATTCAATATTATATTCCTTTGCAATTAAAATTATCAATTTTGTAAACATTAATAGATATTAAATTTTATTTTATGTCATCCTATAGTAAAACAATTTAATTATTAATTAAAAATATTGTCATTGATAATAGAAATTTCTTTTTAAAATAAAAATTATCTTAATCTAAAATTATCTTTTAAAAAAAATCGAGTTTTTTTTTGGTCAATTTTTTTCAGACAAGATTGATATCTATTTTGTTGAGTGTAGCTTTAAATGTTTCTATTGGGGGAAAAAAAATATATTTCTCGTTTTTTAAAATAAAATTTATGTGAAATAAAAATTATCTGGCAAATAAAGAAAAATGGAAAAACTGACAAGGGACTGACCAGTTTCGCTGACGAGAACCACATTTTACTTTCTGATATAAATTGAAAAAAATTTCTTTTTTTTTTACATTGAGAGGAAAAAATAAGATTTTTTTTTTCAAGATTTCTTTTCGTGATTTAATTTTGGATGGAGAAAATAGATTTATTTTCTTCTAGTTCACAATTGTATGTGACCTTTTGTTGGTAGAGACTTTAATAGTTATATATAAGGGATAAAATATCCGATAGTTATACGCAATCTCAACCCTACGAAAGCAAAACATCTTGTTTCAGTTCACTTGACTCGTTTTCGGTTCCTTGTTTCCTTAATCTGGAATGCGGACGTCAATATTATCACTTGGATATCAAAAATAATCAATCAATCTTCTTGTCTGGGGTTCGATAATTGACAAAAGTTAAACAGGGTGAAAAAAAAGTCCAGTTTTAGAATGACCGATAATAAGTATATAGTTCTACGTGTTTTCGACATACAATCTTGATTTATGATCGAACAACAAAGACACCCTTATGTCAAGATATATTTAACAAAAAAAATTTTTTTCTCCTAATATTAAACATTGCCGGATTTTTTTTCTTAAAACGATGAGAAATTTATATTTATATCAATATATTTTGTAGGTACAATTTATAAAAGTATTAAAGGATTTTTTTTATCATTAAAATATAGTTATAAAAATTATCATTTTTTATTATCAAGAAAATTTATCAACTTTTTTTTTAAAATGATTTAATATAAAAATTTGTAAATGCTAAATAAATAATAAATTTATTTAAATTTGAATTATTTTTTCGATTAATAAAAATAATAAAATTATTGTTTTTCAGTTTAGTTATGTTTTTTTTTAATTAAAATTAATTTTTATCAACTTTGAGATTTTCAGTGGAAATAATTTTGCTTATTTATGAATAATTATAGTAATGTAAATATATTTGTTTTGTTAAGACTTTTAAAATTATTTGCACTTAATAATGTTAAAATAATTTGTAAAAATTAAAGTTTTTTTAAAAAAACACTATAACTAAATATGAAATAAAATTTAACACTTAAAAATTGTTTTTTAAATATTTTCTTATATTAAATCATTTTAAATAAGAGCGGCTTTTTTTAATGAAAGAATTTATAGCAGCGCAAGCGCAATTACGTTCAGTGATAGTCTGTATATGTACAGATGAAGCCGTCTGACTTAAATTGGCTTCGACTACTGAAACTTTGAACTGAACTGTATAATACCTTTTTTTCTTATTATTTAAATGAATAATATTATTATTAATATTATTAAATATTATATTGTATTAAATATCATATTATAATACATTATATTATTCAAATTATAAAAATTTTCCATTAATAATAATATTTGAATAGTTATTTGTTATTTTGTATTTCCTATTCACTAAACAGAAAATTTGTGGTTAAAAAAACATTTTTCTAAATTATTTATTTTTTTTTTTTAAAGTGATCCAAAAGGTTTATTTATACGTTTATTGATGTATAAAACTTTTTATGTGAATGAATCAGTAGCAATGTGTCGTAATTTCTTTAAATCCCAGTTTAAACGATTTGTCAAAAAAAAAGTTGTTTTCAGTACCATCAAAACCATTACAAGTACTTTTAGAGAAAAAAAATAAAATAGATATCCTCTTTGATAAATTTCCAAGAGTGTGAGAGATATCGTCAATTTAGTGAGGGCAGTTCCCTTGTGGTACAATAATGACGTATAATTACCCGCTTTCATGTAGCTTTACGCTTTGTCAAATGCACCGATCAGTCCCTTTGACCTATTGAGAAAAAAAAAAAAAAAAAAAAAAAAAAAACCTCTTAATTGCATAACTATTATGACAAGCTTCTATATGATGCTTTATGAATTTAATCAATTGTAAAAAAAAAAAAAGAAAATTTCATTATAAATTTTTTTTGCAAATGCGAAAATTGAAAATTATGTATATATATTAAAATTTATTGCCGCCTTTTAAAAAAGTATTTAAAGATAAAAATTTCTATATGCAAAGAAAAAATGCAAATTTTCAAAAGTAATGTAATTTTTTTTTTTTTTTTTTTTACGAATACGCAGATCATGTACATTTAATACTCGATTCATGACTAAACAATTGTTACCAAATTAAATTTTAAAATTGAACAAAAGAGGCAGAAAAAAATCCATATTTTCAGAAAAAAATCTTTTGTCAGAGACTTGAAATATTAAAAGTAAGAATAATCCCTATTCAGATATTTGAAAACGTTTTAAATCATATAATGAAGGTAAAAAAAATGTGATATCATTTCACATAAAAGCCATAATTATTGTTTGCGAAAAATTAACACAAAAAATTATTATTGACTTTTTTTTATTGTTTCGCATGCAAAAATTATTAACTTTTTGTACTATATTATTATTATTTATTATTATTATTATTATTATTATTATTATTATTATTATTATTATTATTATTATTATATATTATATATTGTATTAATAATTTAAGAATTGAATAAAAATTGGTTCCAGGAATTATTTAAAATCATTTTCGTTTTAATTAAAAAAAATCCCGATTTTTATATTCTTATAGTATCAAAAAACGCAAATATATCTGCGCATTCAACAAATATATGTATATATATATATTTAAGAAGTAATAAAAATAAAAGAAAAATTTTCAATAATATCTATGGATTGAATATTTTTTTTTTTTAAATTCATTGGAGATTTACTAGTTTCTTCCGTATATAGATTATTGAGATTTCTAAACTTTTAGGTATAGTAAAATATATTTTTTATTTGCGCGCCATATCAGTTAAATTTCCATGAAGGTTCTTTCCAGATTTATGATATTGGATAACACAGAATTGAACTTCATAGGTGTAGGGTAATGTAAAGTTAAATCCTTAGAGTAATATCAGCTCCCAGCTGTTATAAATATAGCATCATAAGTACAAGTGTGAGAGTACTTTTAGCTAACTTTTACAAAGTATACGTCTTATATATATATATATATATATATATATATATATATATATATATATATATATATATATAATGACGAATTTCTATTTTAGTGTGAAAATGAAGAGAATTATATTCGCACCACGATTGTTTACCGTATAAACATTTAATAATACATATTTTCTAATATTTCTTTTCTTCATAGACCGGAAAATATTTTTTTCCGTTTCCTAATTTTCTTATAACTTTAATTTACTAATAATAATAATTATTATTTATATTACATTGAAAAAAGGGTTTGGTATTGACAACCAAACGTTTGATTGGTATTTAAGTAATCAAAATTTTTTTATTGAATCAACAAAATTTTAATTGTCTCAACCAAAATTTGTTTGCAACAACCAAAATTAGAAAAAAAAACGATTTTTGTTGTCCTAACTAAAGTTTAATTGGGGACAACCAAAAATTTTGTTGATTCAACAAAAAAATGTTGGTTGCTTATAAATACCAACCAAACGTTTGGTTGTCAATACCAAACCTTTTTTTCAGTGTAGAAAACACGCAAATTTCGAAAATTTATTTTCCTACTCAGAAAAAAGTTTATTTGAAACAATCGAAAAATTTTGTTATTATAAAAAATTGTATATTTAATTCAAACAAAATTTCTGATTATATTTACTTAACTTCGAATAATTGATTTTTATATTATATTTATGATTTATTCACAAGAAATTTAATTATTATATTTATATTCATTTTTTTGTAATTATAATTATTATTATCAAAAAAAAAAACAAATTACAATAGAAAAAAGTGAATGAAAGTTAATTTAATTGAAATTAAATTTCATTTTATCAAAATTTAAAAATTTTCAATAAATAAGTTTAGGTTAATGTAAATTTTTTTATTCAAATTGAAAATAAAATTTACCTTGTGCGTGCAGTGTAGTTTTCGAACTTGTTGAAGTAGGCCAGTTGGGCTTCAAAACTCTATAGCTTCAATGTTTCATTTTGCACGTGAGTTCGCACTTATTTTCTTTAATCTCACGAATTCAAATATCGACTTGAAGGTCCATCACACTTTTTTCGATACCGGAAATCGTTATAAAGGAAAACTCAATTATTTTCAAATTTTTTTTTTGAATTATAAAATTTGTTTAAAGAAAAAATTGTCAAATTTTGAAAATTATAAAATAAACTAAATTTTTCTTGAGATCAAAAAGATATGAGAAAACAAAAATCTTTCTTATAAATTACAAGTAATTTAAAAGGTTATTTAAGATTGTTATAAAAAAGAAATGGTAGATTAAAATTTTTGAAAATTATTTTCATTATTATCCTGAAGGGATAATAATAGTTTGAGAGATTTGAAGAAACAAAAAGAATCTCTTGAGCTTCTCATTATTAAAGTAATTTTGATATTTTGACCGTTTCTTTTGCATCTTATTACCACTATATATATATATATATATATATATATATATATAGACCGGGATGAAGGAATTGTGAAATATAAAATAAATATATGTTAAACACTTTTAAATCAATGACGAATTAAAAACAAAAATAAAACAAGATGACGGAAGTTAAAAAAAAAATTTTCTTTTTTTTTTTTAGCAGTTATGTATTTCCGACATGCCTGCCATTTATTTTTGTACTCACTTTCGGTCCGAATCCATCGACGGACACGCGGCGAAGATTGAAGTGAGCGCCGTCATCGTTGCGATGCCGTGATGGTCGTTCCTTTTTTGCAGGTAGCGCAAGCGCAAAATGTTTAGATATTGGCTTTATATATATACAAAAGTTTCTCATTATAATTTATAGAATTTCTATTGACTCTAAATATTATGTTTATTAATCCATAAATAAACATAAATTGTCATATCGAGAATTTTCATATAACAATTTTTCGCTTTAATTGAAAATGAAATCGATTGCCAACGCAATTGCGGGGATAAATGTGAGACCACCTGTTCATCAGAGGCAGAATATTCGCCAATTTTCAAAAAAAAAAAAAAAAAATTATTTTACTGATCTTTTTTATTATTATTTACTTCATAGAATTTTTTTTATAAAGATAATATAATTTTTTGTTTTCTTTTATTTTGATAGGGCAAAATATATTACCTGGCAAAATTGAATAGCAATCATACATGAATCAATATTCTGTCAATATGTTGCTTCATATACTATTGAATGATATTTGCCTGTAAAAGAGTGAAAAAAATAAAAAAAATTTATGTTAGTTTGAAAATACTGCGATAAAATTTAGTACACAGTAAATATTGTTTATCAACTTTTTACAGCGCAGTGTTGTTATCCATAAAAGTAGAAATTTAGTCTAGATTGGGTGAATTTTTTTTTCAAATTATTAATTCACGCAAAAAAAAAATCTTTATCTGAAACAGCGAAAGGTTTCACTAGAATAGCAAAAGATTTAACTGAAACAAGTAAAACTTTTGCTAGTACAGTGAAACGTTTCGTTGTTTCAGGTAAATATTTTTTTTTCGGGATACTGATTAGTGATTTTTTTTTTAGTATAAATAAGAACACAAAACCAATATGAAAAGTATAAATTTTTGCGGAGATTAATAAAGTGTGTACTATAAATAAAGTTTACTATAGTTAATTACGAGATTTAAAAAGTTTCCAGAAAGAAATAAAAATGTTAGTTGCAATATAATTAAAAAGTTTGTTTCAAACTTTTACAATCTTTCAAATTAGTAATAGTAACCTTTATAAAATCTATATAAACTATAAATTATTTATAAAAAATATTTAACGTTTCAATGAAGAATTTTGTGGCTATTAGTACTATCTTAAACCTACATTGGTCCTTTATTGAACCTAAATTGGTCCTTTATTGGACCTAAATTGATTCTAAATTGGTTCTACTTTGAACCTATATTAAGCCTACATTAATCCTACATTGGATCTACTTTAATCGATATCTATCAAATGGTAATATTTACAAATCAAATCCAATTTTAAGATATAAAATTAAAATAAAATTAAATTGTACATTTAAGAAAATTAATTTTATATGAATTTTCAAATCTTTACTTGGATTAATGCAAGCATTGAAACTTTTTGACCTCAGTATATAGTTTAGTTTATTAATTATTATCCATTGTATGTTTTCATAATACAAAAGGTTTCCTTTTATTGAATAATTATTCACAATATTGTTAATATTGCCATAAAAATTTGTAGGTCTGCAACATTGATTATTTTTGTCCGTTTTTAGGGACTGTTGCCCGGCAATAATTAGGTAATATTGTTTCCGATGTTGTGCTATTTGAAATATTATTGCTATTATTCCAGGTATTATTTTCTCTTTTTTTTTTCTTTTTTTTTTTTTTTTTTTATTCATACATTATGAATATTGCTGTTTATTCATTTTTATTAGCAAGAAAATGATATATAATATGATTAAAAGAGTGAGTTCTGTTTGTTATTCTTATTTTTTTATATAAATTTACTGTTTCCGCGAAATGTAATAGACAAAAGTTCGCACAAAGGCATAAAAATTGTTATCACTGTGAGTTTCAATTAGATTTTTATTTTTCTATCAACGTGAAAAACAATAAAACACAATCAAGTATTTTGCAATTTAATTAAACGTTTGACGAAGAAAAAAGCAAATTAAAAAAATTTTTTTTTTTTCTATTTTTCAATATAAAAAATCAATTATATTTATCTATTTAAAATAATATTTTTAAAAATTTTAATATAATGTAGAATCTAAATCAATTAAGAATAGAAAATTTTATTTTCCATAAAACAATTCATATTCGGGCAGTGAGATAATGAAATTTTTGGTAAACAAAGTTTGTTTTATAATGCAATTGTTTTGAATGTATTATGTGTTTTCTTTGTAGAAACAGAGACTTTGTTAGAGGCTGAAGCCTTCACAAGTACACTTGATGCATTTTCTGAGCATATGTGGAGGAATACAATCTTAAATTTTACCTACTAGTTTGAAATATACACGAAATGAAAACTGAAGAAAAGAATTCTAGATATTTAGTTTTAAAAAACTGGTACGAATAAAATTTTTTGATAATAAAATTTTCTATTTTTATATAAAAAGAAAATTTTTTCAAAATATTTTTTTTTTATTTCAAATTTTTCTTTTCAAATTCAGTCTCTCTCTCCCTCTCCCTCCCCCCCCCCCCTCTCTCTCTCTCTCTCTCTCTCTCTCTCTCTCTCTCTCTCTCTCTCTCTCTCTCTCTCTCTCTCTCTCTCTCTCTCTCTCTCTCTCTCTCTCTCTCTCTCTCTCTCTCTCTCTAATATGGACATTGTCAAGGATTCAAAGGACCACAGGCAATGATTAAATGATAAGATGCATATATTTAAAAATTAACGGTCTCTTTATATAGTGTGACGTCACAGTGACGTAGAAATATAACTCCTTCCTTTGAATTGATGATGAGCTCAGTGGATTGAAGATCACGATATCCTAGTTTTGAAAAAGTATGCTAAAATAGAAATGAAAATAATATTATTTGAATAAAAAAAAAAAAAAAAATTTTGAATTTTAGTTTTTTGTAACTATTTATTTTTGTAATATGTAAATACTGGAAGAAAAATGAGATTCAAAAATAATTATAAATTCTACTGTTCTTTGATTCAATTTTTTTTCATTTTTTTTTTTTTTTTTATTATTTCTTTTTATTATTCATAACTATATCCGTTTAGCTTTTTATCATTAACCAACTGGTTTTAGTCGTTTTCAGAAAAAAATAATTGCATTTATTTTTTGCTCCTACAAATTACCTTATTATTTCTTTTCAATTTACCAGTGGAATTATTTGAACAAAGGAAATAAATTACTTTGGCATAAAGTCCTTTGGATGTATAAGAAATGCAATTTTAATTTACCTTTTTATATGCTAAATAATTGAAATTGCAACAAAATATTATTTTTCAATATTAGAAATTTAGAATATTGAGAGCGATTTTTTAAATCGAGAGCGTCTATTTGTTATTTACTGCTTGAAATTTACTTAAAACTTTTATGTACTTCCTTTTTAACAAAAAAAAAAAAAATTCTAGTTTTGTAATCAAATGCCAAAGTAAACCTTTCGGAAAGCAAAGGCAATGAAAAGCGTCGAAATGAAAGTTTGGCAAGCTGTTGAAAATAATAAATAGAAAAATACACATCTAATTGTAGGCTTTGACTGCGCGAAAGAATTTTTCTTCAACCATTACTGTAATAAAATTGTTTTAAATAATAAGAACTATTTTTTTATATAGCAATTACAATCTATCCGGGAAAAGTTAATATTAAAAAAAAAACCTTCTTAATTTTCATTTAACAAATGAAAAAAAAAAAAATTTGATTTGATCTAAATTTTGTTTTTGATTTTTAGTGCTAAAAAAATATTTCACTCGCATCAAGATAGATATATGAAATTATTAATTTTCTTAAATTGTTTGCATTGTTCTAGAAAAGTGTTAAATTGTTGTTTTTTTTTCTATAGTTACGATTCTTAAAGTGAATCCTGCATTTTCAAGTTATCAGTAGAAACATTTTAAATTGCACGTCATTCTTAATTTTTTGAAAGTAATTTCAAGAAAAGCTCTTGAGAAAGAAAACCGATTACATTACGACGTTTGAAAATTGCATTTGCGCTCTACAACGCAAATAAGTACAATAAATTGAATGAAATGAAGACAAGCAAACGAGAAAGTTGAAATTATAAGATTCTCAAGATTTTCTGATAACCAAAAGAATTACAGCGATTAAAAGTGAAATTCCATAATAATGAGGACAAAAATTCTATAAAGTTATATTTTTTTTATTTTCGAGGAAGAATTTTTTTTTTTAACTAGGAATTTGAAAAAATAAAAAAAAATCCATATTGATTTTTTTAAAACTGTCATCAAATTCGTCATCAGAGACCACAAAAACTTCCGAGTAATCAATTTCAAGTGAATTCGTTAAATAAAAAAAAACCGCCATATTGGATCCGCCATTTTGTATTTTTCAAAACCAACATCGGATTTGTAATCCAAATACTATTTTTCAGATGTTAAGTATTTTTTTACTAAATTGTTATTACTATCATTATTATATTATTATTATTTTTATCGTTTATTGTTGTTATTATTATTGATTATAATTAATTTACGTTCCATTTTTGAGAAAACGATTTAAAGAGAAGGTGGGTAAATTGTTTGGTGGGGAGAAAGAGTTTTTTAAAAAAAAATGTGTCTTGATGTTTAAAAGATTTGAGAGGTACAGAGAAAGAGAGCGATGTGGTCGCGGTTCCCAAGAATGAAGAGTGCAAAGAAAGAAGGAGATGGACGGAAGCTCTCATCATCCTCCGCTAATATTTACTATGTGGACACAAAGACAAAGTACCCACGTTTCCAAAGACTTGTGCCCAGTTTTTTTTTTTTTTTTTTTTTTTTATATATAAAAAGAAGTTGAAAGTCGTTCAAGTCATGTTGTTGAAGAAAATTGATGGAAATTATTTTTTCTTTCCACTTAATATTTTTTCTTCCCCTTATATATTTTCATTGAATTTTTTGGCTGTTTAATTAGAAAAAAAAATAGAATTTTTCATGTAATTTATATTTAGATTTTTACTTGGCTTAAATATTTAATTAATAAAATAAATAATTTTTAAATATTTTATCTTCTAATTGACGACCAAAAGTGGCTTACGCGTGATTTTTGTTAGCCCCGCGATCAGTGAGTTTCCAGCTATTCCAGGGGTCAATGAAAATCTCGCCTATAAGCTCGTTTGGTCCCCGGCGGTTCAATTATTATTCTTGTTACAAATTTTTCAAAAAATGTAACTACCCATGTGGAAAATAGTCATGGCACTATAACGATACTCTCTAGTTTTTCTTGATACTATACTGGCGCGACATAGATAATCTGTACAGAAACTATCTAAAAGTGTAACGATTTGATAGGCTAGTTACTATGTAGTTTTAATATATAGTTAAACTAGATAGAAACTATATCGTAAATCTAGAATTATCTAGCAGACAGGAGAAATCGATTTCTATTATTGGTCCTCAGCAAGTAATGGACAAACAAGAAATGGAAAAACCAATGAGAAGCTTCATTTATTAAAAAGTGTAGAGGGAAAGAATATTTTATTTAAAAAATAATTATAATAATGATATAAATATAATAAAATTATTATTATTATTGTTATTATATACTTAAGTATATTAAGGAAATTAGTATTTTTTTATTTGGAAGCAATATAATTAACAAAAAAAATTCAATAGTAAAAATATTTTTATATTGCTTTATTAAAGTTTTCTTATTATTAAGCATTTTATATAAGCGCGATTTTTTCGACCTATAAGAGAGTTGTCGTAACGCAAGCGCAGTAGCGTTTAGGTAGGGTCATTGGCAACTCTGAGTCCGTGACGCAAGCGATATTTTAGGTTATGATGATTGTTTTTGTTAGCAGTGTTGGAAGAAAGTTAATATCAATAAATCACTTTTCAGAAGAGTTACTAAAATAAAAGTAAAATTGTTGACAAGTTTATATGAATAAATTATATTTTATTGAATTATTTGTGTTATTATTTGTCGTTCAAAAAGTATTGGTCAGAGCATCAACATTGCCTAAGAAAATAGTAATTAATTTTAAAAATACAAAATTTAATATAATATCAACTGTCTCAACCTGCATACATCTCCCCTATAAAATAATTAAATAATAATAATTTATATTACATAGTTGTATATAGTTTACGAATTTATAAAATTAATTAAATATATATGCTAAAGTAATAATAATTATAATTTTATATGTATTTCATGTATATATTTTAAATAATAATTTATTAATTATTCTAACATATAATATTTATAATATAATATATTCTTAATATTGAAATTCTGTACAGTTTCTATACAGTTAACTACAAGCAAAAAGGTTATGTTAATTCTGTTTAAACTAGGACTTTTCTAGATAGTGTTGTCACAATTTAACTAGACAGTGAAACTAGATAGTTTCACTGTACAGATTCATGATAATATCTGTATAGTTGTACGTTTCTTGTTAAACGTTACAAAAACTTTATAGATAATATGTCGCACCCAGTCTTCCATGATTATTTTCTACATGGGTAGATATATGAAAAATAATTTCATTAATTCTGTATTAAATTTTTAAAGTTAAAAATAAATTCCTTATGTAAAAAAAACTTTATTTATTGGATAAAAAAAAGAGGGAAAAATTTTTTTTCCAGTTTCGGAACACGTGTATCAAATATGAAAAATTGTATCTGAATTGCTTTAAAGGCTTTAAGACTTCATGGCATAAACGGGAAATGTATAAAATAACGAACGAGTAAGTCACTTGGTGTTAGTCGTGGTGATTTTCCGGTTTGCAGGATGGTGCAGCAGGAGGTCGAAGCTTTCAAACGGGCTAATCAAATTATGGCGTCGATGCAAACCGTGCTCCAAGCAGTTCGCAAAGGCCTCAGGTAAAATGCTTCTGCATGGTTACATTAGAGGTCCATTAGTATTACTTCCATGTTTCTCTATAAGTATGCTTTTAAATTTCAATTTTTTTATATCACAATTATATTTAACTTATTATTTTTTTTTTAGAGTACAATAATAATTAATAAAAAGTTAAAAAAAAAAAAAAAAATTAAGGGTATTTCATTATTATTTTTAACTGTTCTGAAAAACATCTTGAAGTTACAGAAAGTGTTTTAAGGTGTTCCTATGTGACTGTGAATATGAGGATCGTTAAATGAGGTCGTTGCACTCTTGCCAGAGATTTTTCTTGATGACACGGGTGGTCATCGTAGATGCTTATTGTCCGATGCGACGCGACGCTTGCCAACCCTTAGGGCATTTCATATGAAAGCGTCGAAAAATCTCAAGCCACAAACTCTTTATTTAAAAAGTAGCCATTAAGAAAAACTCAAATTATTTCAAAGAAATATGTGAAAACTAAATTGTTTTTTTTTCAGTATAATAAATTTTTATATTAAAAATTTATTTATTTATTTATAATAGAGAAAATAATATATTTTCGCCGTATACAAAATATTTTTGCCAAGTGTGCTTGAGGCATTAGTATCACATGACCTCACTGTCAAAAAGTTCCATTAGAGAAAAGAAAATCAAAAACAGCGTACTTATATACCTTCAGGGAATTGTCGGGCCATCCTTGTCATCCTATCATCTTTGGTCTCATAAAGAAACCAGCATAAAGGATTTCTGGTGCAAGTGAAAGGGTTCATTGAAATATTTTAAGAATCATTGTTAAAAACTACTACATTTTCACAAAACAGCCTTTGAATCATAAGAATTGTAAACTTAATTAAAATCTATAATTAATTTAGCGAGAGAAAAAAAAAATTTCACTCATTTTCTAATTGATCTGTAATCTTCGAAAATTCATTAATAAAAATATAGAATGTGAAAAGTGGGTTAAAAGATGTTGAAAAATTTATAAACCCGCACGGGTTGATTAAAGTACCTACAAACCCTGTAATTTATGAAAACCTGCTATTAGGACTATTTTAATTTTCTTGAAATTAATTTTCTTTCAAAAATTACGATATGACATACTAATTTTAGAAATACTCTACAAGTTCAACATGGTTAAATCTTGAAAGGAACAAACCCCGAAGGCCATATACAATCATTAGAAGAGAATTCATCGATATTAAAAATAAATCACAAACCAATTATTATTATTAAACAGTATACCTCACAGTAATGGATATAAAAAAATTAGGAAAAAAAAGCAGGCGCAAAACACCTACATCTAGGGTTTCATGGCTTTCTAAATTCAGATCAAAAGTTATTTAAATGTAATAAATCATTTATAATTACATTATTTGTGAATTGCTATGGTTGCTATCGAAACGGTTGCTCTAGAAATCAACTATTGCCATAGTAACTGTTGCCATAGTACCAATTGTTGCCATAGTAACTATTGCCATAGTACCAACTGTTGCCCTAGTAAGTGTTGCCATAGTACCAACTGTTGCCATAATACCAACTATTGCCCTAGTAAATGTTGCCATAGTAACTGCTGCCATAGTAACTGTTGCCATAATACCAACTGTTGCCCTAGTAATTGTTGCCATAGTACCAACTGTTGCCCTAGTAACTGTTGCCATAATACCAACGCTTGCCCTAGTAAATGTTGCCATAGTACCAACTGTTGCTCTAGTAACTGTTGCCATAGTAACTGTTGCCCTAGTAACTGTTGCCCTAGTAACTGTTGTCATAATACCAATTGTTGCTCTGGTAACTGTTGCCCTAGTAACTGTTGTCATAATACCAATTGTTGCTCTGGTAACTGTTGCCCTAGTAACTGTTGCCATAGTACCAACTGTTGCCCTAGTAACTGTTGTCATAATACCAATTGTTGCTCTAGTAACTGTTGCCCTAGTAACTGTTGTCATAATACCAATTGTTGCTCTGGTAACTGTTGCCCTAGTAACTGTTGCCATAGTACCAACTGTTGCCCTAGTAACTGTTGTCATAATACCAATTGTTGCTATAGTAACTGTTGCCATAGTACCAATTGTTGCCATAGTAACTGTTGCCATAGTACCAACTGTTGCCCTAGTAAGTGTTGCCATAGTACCAACTGTTGCCCTAGTAAGTGTTGCCATAGTAAATGTTGCCATAGTAACTGCTGCCATAGTAACTGTTGCCCTAGTAATTGTTGCCATAGTACCAACTGTTGCCCTAGTAACTGTTGCCATAGTAACTGTTGCCCTAGTAACTGTTGTCATAATACCAATTGTTGCTCTAGTAACTGTTGCCCTAGTAACTGTTGCCATAATACCAACTATTGCCACAGTAGCTGTTGCCATAGTAACTGTTGACATAGTAAGTAACTGTTGCCATAGTAACTGTTGCTGTAGTAACTTTTGCCATAGTAACTTTTGCCATAGTAAGTAACTGTTGCCATGGAAACGGTTACCATGTACGACGGACGGACGCTAAACCGAAACTATAAGGCTTTCGGCCCTGCGCCACGAAACCCTAAAAAAGAAATTTGATTCTTGATTCAAGAAAATTTTTACTAGTTTGAAGTACATTTTTGATGTATTAAGAAAATTAGTAAATCAAGTACATATTTTTTTTGTATGGATTTTTGAATTTTAATCACGTAAATTTTAGAGCAATTAAAAAAAAATTGACAATTCTAGATTTTGTACCAATTTTTATCAAGTTGGAAAATGGAAACTTTGGTTTTACCTTAAAGCTTATAATCGCAACTTGCTTTTGTTAATTATGCAAGCCAATCAGAGTTGTAGCTTCCGCGCCACAAGTCGTCTGTCGCGACGGGCCTTTCAATTATGTAACCAGGAAAGTTGACGTGCTTGACTCATTCGCTTGGGATTAGACAATAAATACATTATATCTTAAATAATTTTTCATTTTATTTTCTATTTTGTTTCAAAGTTGGAATTTTAAAATTAAATCATATATATATGATAGGAAATTGTATGAGAAATTAACAGTAAAATAAAAAATAAATAATAAAAAAAAAAGAATGAGGAATAGTTTAATAATGTAAAAGCACGTTGCAAGCCATTAAGTGGTTGTAGCAGAGCTCGTTAAATTTGTGTAATTATTCATCTTAAGCTTCGAAACATTGTTCAAATCCGCGAAGGATTCTATTGTTCTTCAAGAGCGTTACTATCGTCATTCTCAGAGACTATTTCCCATCAAAGATCGTCCACTGTCTATATTGAGTTAACGGTGTATACCAACAATGCGCTAAACTTTATACGAGGTAGACCTAGAATTTCTCTTTGATGTCAGTTATTTCAATTTCAATTCAGTGTTTTATTTTAATTAAACTTGTTTCAATATTTCATTTCAATATGTAGTATAAGTATATTAATATGCTCTCATTATATTTATAACTTTTTAATTTTTTTTTTTATACATTTATATTATAGACAAAAGTGCTGCATCCCTTTGAAACAATAATAACAATTGGAAATGATCAAAGGAAAATAATAAGTTAATTATAATTAATCAACCTACTGAGAATGAAGGGAATGGGTAAAACCGTGTATGGTTCATATGTGATCCATATATGATATCCCATTTGAAATCTCAGGTATGGTACATAGGATTCGAAATAAAATTAAATGAGGGAAAAAAAATTATTTGATTCAAATAATCGGTTATACTACTATCAAATAAATATTTCTTTGAACCAAATAATTTTTTTGTTTGAAACATTTTATTTGTTTCAATTACAGAAAGTATTGTTTAAATACAGTATATTTGATTCAAATAAAAATTATTTGAATACAAGTAAATATTTATTTGTATCAAATATTTATTTGATCAAGTAACCAATTATTGGAATTAAATAAATTTATTTTTTCACTGTAGGTATATGGATATCAACTTTAATAAATAATAATAATAATTATCATTTTATTTCTATTTTTTAAATGATAAGAATTGATATAAATAATAAAATAGTGTAAAAAATGAAAAATAATACGTATCGATTAAATTTAAGTTTACCAAATGAGTTCAGTTTACTTTTACGAAAACATTTATCGGCAGATTGCAGCACTACCTTGTACTTTTAGAAAATAAATTCTTTTAATTATGTTTTCATTTTGAAAAAAAAACATTTGTAATTTTAATTATTTTTAAATTTATAACTTATTTATAAAAAAATAAATTCGTAATTTTGATTCTGGTTTAAAATTGATTTTATCAATAAAATTTTTCTATACATATTAACACCTGCATGACCTGTAGACAGTAAATATATATTTATCCATTGAAAAAATTAATGGTAAATTTAATTGTTTATTAAATGTTAACTATATAATATTAAATGTGTTTCTCTATTATATTTTAATGGTTTTTAATAAAATTTTAAATTGATTCACCAATTTTACCTGTGTATTATAATGATAAGATTTTATATCTTATTTGATAAGTTATTTTTCCGCGTTGACTGGACATTTTCATAAATTTTTGTAATTTATATTATCAATTTTTTCATGTAGCTGAAAATAATAAAAGGAAAAATATATTTAAATTAAAAATTATAATAAGATTGAAATAAAATCAAGTTTAAAAATTAAATTTATAAAAGCAATTATAATAAGTCTTTAAATATAGTTAAAATTAATTGTTTAAATTATTAATTATATCTAATTTAACACTTATAAGTATTATATATAAATAATTTAATAAACTAATAAAGAAAATTTTTAATTAATTTATAAAAATTCCAAAAAAATTTTTAATTTATTTAAATTTTCTGGATTTTCAAAAAATTATTGTAAAATTAAAAAATATAATGGAACTTTTAAGTTAAAGACTCGATAGTAATATTAAAACTCATTTTGTAATACTGAAATCTGTATTGTTAAATTGATATTTCATCAACGATAAATGATAATACCTTCGTTAAACAAAATAAATCAAATAAAAATGTAC